AATGAATAAATGAAACTCATACAAGCTGAAACCCTGGCCAGAGTCTTCATTAAAAAAGTCTCACCTATGGTTACAACTTATCTGGTTCATCAAAGCCGGAAACTCAGGATCATTGCAGTCTGAGACCTGAACCTTGCAAGTTCAATAGAAACTTGAAAATATTGGGCAAGGGAAAAGAAAACCGAGTTTAACCAAGAAGAAGAGGAAACCGCAATACCTACGCTAGTTTGAAGGCCTGTAAATATAACTGAGAAGCCACTACCTAGGCTAGTCGTAAGCCTGAAGGTAGATAGTGAGCTGTATTAACCATACGGGGAGTTAAATAGTCTTGTTTGATAGAATCTGTGTATGTAGCCACCTCACGTGACCTAACGTTAATGACGCCACCTAACCTCCTTACAAATATATTGTGTCATTTTCAAAGAAAGGTCTTCTGGGCCTGGGAAAAGCGAGTCAAGATTAAAGATTTGGGAAATTATTCCGAACTCGTGAGATGTAAGTTTCAGAAAAACATTTTCTTTATCGTGCCAACGTTTCGATCTTTATTGAGATCATCTTCAGGGCTCAAAGTGTTTGTTGTCTGCGTAATTGTGCCATTCTTGCGTGTCGTATTGAGAGTGTTCAATGATTTGGAAAATATTCGGTATTCCCTTGGTTTCGAAATTAAGCATGAAATAATAATAACCCTTGCAAATTTTGGTACATACGATGGTGCATTGATTAGGCTCCTCAGAACCTCTTTTGAAACCGTTATGACTTTTCGGTTCGTCTGATGACACAGATGATGGTACCTGTCGGTAAATGAAAAGCTTGCTGAAGAACGCCTGCACAATCACCTCTTAACATTATTACATTTTTAAGATCTGTAGTGCTAGATTTGTGTGGTTTTTCTGGTATTAGCTATCGAGTTGTAGCACTTAGTTCCTGAAATTTCGTCCATGTCTGCATGAGAGATGAACCTGTAATTTGGTCGTTTCCGCTATTATTAGTTTGTCTATGTACGCATGTTTTGGCCTGTTCGATTCAGGATTTCGCCATTTTCAGTAGTTCCTGGGTTATAAGCAGATTCAGAACAAGCAGGGAAGACTGACCGAATAATCCCAAGCCAACCCTTGAAGATAGTGTTGGCGTGAACTTGAAGCCTCTGTTAAAGGAGCGGGTTTGCAGAATGTGACCATTGGAAGACCAATGGATATCCTCGTTTTTATCATGAGGGCTCCTCAGAACCTCTTTTGAATCCGTTGTGACGTTTCGGTTTCTCTTGATGTCACAGATGATGGCACCTGATGGTAAAGGAAAAACCTGCTGAAGAACATAGATCAGAATCGGCAAACACATTTTCTGGATATGTAGTATGGTGTGTATGGTTTTATTATTAATCAAATTACCACGACAAATGTGAGGTTTCGTATTAAGGTCTGCAAGATGATGAACGCGAGTAGAACACAAGCAGGTGGACAATATCGATGTTAATATCACTGAACCGATGCAGTGAACTTAAACTTTGCAGAAAGGTACAGAAATTTTAAACCGTTGATGGTCTGAGCTGCATTGACAGCACCTATTGGTAAAAATGTTACTTGTTTGGGAGTCCTCGCCCAATGCGGTTTTCCGTGTATGTAGTACAAGTTTGTATGATTTTGGAGTTAATATGTGGCTAACTGTATTGCAATTGTAAAATGTGATTATTTGGAGATCGTGAGTTGCGGTCTGGTGCGACTTAGGTTTAGAAAAACATTTTCTTTATCGTGCCAACGTTTCGATCCTTATTGAAATCATCTTCAAGAATCAAATTGTTTTGTTTTGTGTAGATGTGCCATTACTGCAATGAGTACACTCTCAACACGACACAGAGTACACATAGGACACAACAATTAAACACCACAAATTGTAAAATGTCTCGCCTGTGGGGTGAAGAACATTAATCGGATTTTAAATTCACTAATTTCGTGGTCCGCTTGACCAATTAATACTTTACAATTAATTAAAGTTTTTAGTTGAGATGAAAAAAAGCTAATGGCACGAGAGGGATTCGAACCCACGACCTTCGGCTAGATACGCCGCTGCTCTACCACCTGAGCTATCGTGACCTCGATCCTCTCGTGCCATTAACTTTTTTTCATCTCAACTAAAATCCTTAATTAATTGTAAAGTATTAATTGGTCAAGCGGAAGACGAAATACTCGCAAGACGATTTACACTCTTCTGTACTGATGATGATTCCCTGGGGCGGGCGCCCATAGTGTGTCGACTTGGCAGTTGTTTTCCATTAAATCAATTTAATCCAGGGTATTAATATAGGTCAGGAAGGCTTAATTATTCAGACCTTTTTAACAATTCATGACTTTTTAAAATCCCCTTTTATGGATGGACGTGCCGAAGACGTTAATTTATAAGACATCGCACTTTGGCCCGGCATAAAATCAAGTTATAAAAAATAAGTCGCCGAAAAGTTTGGCAAGTCAGTGGAAAAAGTCAGTTTTGCCCGTTGTTCATCGAGCCACACATATCTCTCGGACGTCAATCCTTTGCCCCTACATGTCGATATGGTCTTGTTTTTCAATCGACGGATGCACATTCTCCGACAGTGTCAAGGGTAAATTAAATCCGGGTTTTCACCCGGTTCATTGCAGTTTACAGATTAAAAAGCACAAATATTGAAAGAAGAGAGGAAAATTATTTGCTGATTGATTGTATTGGGCTACGGGGCCAAAGTGTACCGGAAAGAAGTTATTTTTTAAAACTGTAAAACACTAATAAAATTCTGAACGGGGCATGCAGATTATACAGATTCATAAATTATAAGAAATAACACAACAACGCTAACAAAACAATGTATTCAATTGTGTTTAAATCGCTTCCGATTATCCTAGCCTGCCTAGATTCGCTTGTTCTTCGTCTTACAGACGAGTCTCAGAGTTCATGTAAGATCTCACTTTGCTCAGAAGAATTACTTATTATTTTTCAAAGGGTTCAAAGGGACATCAGTCGACTACAAGGTTAATCATAACAGTTTCATCCTCTCTGATCATTCTGGTCTACTTTGTCCGGAAAATTTTAAGATTTCTCGTAAGTTGTGTGACAAGATGAATCTGAACCCTTCCGATCATATTTGTCTGCGTAACAGCACATGTTCTGGCTATCCGAAGAGGTTTCAAAAGCCCCATCTTTGGAAAAAATGAGGATCTCTTTTTGTTTTCCAGACACATTTTGCAAAGCCACTCCTCTAACACGTCTCTCTTCTAGTTCACGTCAACATTACCTTTCAAGGGTTTTGCTTGGTGATATTCTGTCAGTCTTCTCTGCTTGTTCTGGATCTGCTTGTAACCACTACTGAAAATGGCGAAGTCTTGATACGTATCGAACAGGCCAAAACCTGCGCAAATAGAAAAAAAATAATAAGAGCGGAAACGACCTAATTACTGGTTCATTACTCATGCAGACATGCACGAAATTTAGAATCTAAGTGTTATAATTCATTCGATAGCTATTACAAGAAAAACCACACAAAACTGGTACTACAGATTGTAAAAAGGTATTAATGTTAACCAGATGAACAAACCCTGATCAATACCATGTTATTGCCTCCTTCTCAGAGGATGTGTCTGTAGCACCGACCATAAAGTGTAACGTAAATGGGATAAAATGTCATGCACCATATCTTTCTGCTATGTTCACCTTAGAAGTTTAAAGATCGCGACACCGGTGTCCACCCACCTGTCAACCTCTAACTTCTATCCAATCGACCCAACCCTGACAAACTCCTTGTGTTAACAAATAACATATAGAAATAAACTGTATTAGGTATGATAATTGCACTGCACCTACAGAAAATGTATTTACAGGGGTGTATCGGGTTAATTCACCAGCAAGCTTCTCCTTTACCAAACGAAGCTCAAGCCAATGTGAACTTTGGCATCCAGCTCACACGCTGTTCCATGAAAACGAACCGTCGATTCAGTACGGTTTCAAAGGAGGTTCTGAGGAGCAAATGCACCAAAGTTTGTAAGAAATGAGGATATACTTCTAGAAGATTAGTTATTAAGGTATTAGAGTACAATGAAGATCTCCTTATCTTTCAGACGCATTCTGCAAACAACAACAGAGGCCTAATGATCACGTCAAACACTATCTTCAGTTGTTGGTCTATTTGTTATTTTAACAATCTTATCAGTTTTGTAATCCCCCTGCTTCTTACGAATCGAACAGACATCGTAGGTATACACACTAGTAAGAGCAAAAACGACTAAATCGCAGGTTCATCATTAATAAATACATGTACTAAATTTCATTACCAAATCGAAATTTTTGCTTACCATTTAAGAAATGAGGATATATTTCTAGAAGGTTAGTTGTTAATGGAGTAAAATGAGGATATCCTTATCTTCCAGAAAGGCACTAAATTTCAGAATTTAAGTATTATAATCCGATAGCCATCACTAGAAAAATCGCACAAAACTTGTTCTTAAAAATGCATTAATGTTAAGACAGTTATCGGACTAGAGTTTTTCAGCAAGCCTTTCCTTTACCAACAGGTGCTCTAACCCTGGTCAATATCAAGCTTTTACCACGGTATCTATGTTATTATATCTCACCTCAGAGACTGCATTTGAATCTTTCTACTAAATTCACCAAAGAAGTTTAAAGATAATGACACCGACGTTGTCCAATTCCTTGACTTCTGACGCCAAAACCATCGACCCAAACTAAGTTGCCATAACATATAACCAAAATTATAGTAATGTTTACCATCCTAGGGGAAATGAAAAAAACCTTGGTTTCTTGTATTGTTTATCATTTCGAACCCGGGACATTACAGTGATGGGCGCCGTGTCAACGCCTAAACCGTTGCAGCCGCCGACGCCCCCAAAAACAAGTTTATCTATTATATTGAACAAAATGTTTCTTTAAGCTTTAAGCTTTATTTGATACATTAATAGAAGGAACGGGTTTAATAAGTGATTCTGAAATTTCGATTGAAAGATTTTCTCCCGGCAAAAAGACAGATGTGGATTTCTCACAAACACATGATGTGTGCACTGAATTATAAAAATTGTTTACCACCCTCCGTAATTATTACACAATTAGTTGATGATAAATGCAGAAACGTACGTGAATGGAATCGGCCTCGTGTTGTGCCTGGTGGCGAGTCTGGGGCTCGCGTCGAAATCGCCTAGTTTACAAGCCTGTTCTAGGTATTGGCTGAAGATGACCGACGACAACGCCGAGAAAGCGCTGGAGAGGTACGAGGAGTGTGTGGACATGCTCTCCGGTCTAAAAGGTAACGGACCGACCGACCGTCTAGAAGAAATTCTTTTTTTTTAAAAAGGAAAAACTTTTAAAAAACTATTCCAGGCCGTGAAAAACGTCTTTTTCGAGAGTCGCTCATGCGCAACCTGGATAGGACGGCCACGTTCTTTTTCGAAAGGACCACCCTCCCGGCAGCGGAGGTCGTCCAGGTGATGAGGAGCGTGGCGAAGCTGATGGACGTTTTGGGAGAAAACCACGTCGTGTCGAAGTACAACAATCCGCTCGACGACAGCCCAGAACGCAAGTACAGGATCCTGTTTCACTCCTTTATCGCTCTCGTGACATGTCAGACAATCCTCCTACTCTGCCTCCTCTGGCGGTTTTGCTTCATAAAACGCTTGACCCATCAGGAAGAGGTTTATCTGAAGTAATTAGTAGATATATCGGAAAACTTGCGATCAACAGTAACGATGCTAATCGTGTCCAGATGCAGGCGTAGGACGTCCTACTGCGAAAGCTCGAGTCCAAGACCCGACTGCCCGCTGAAAGACGGGGAAGATTTTCCTCTCATCAACAAGACAAAACGTGAGTTTAATTAGGAAATAAAACTAGTTAATTTATGACTTAAGTAGAAGGCCCTTTTGAATTAAACAGAAGGATTAATCATTAACCACATTTATGTCGGGTATCCTCATTTAAAACCGGTGCTTCTGAGGGAGACTGGTTTTTAGTAAAGATCCTTATCCGGATTGTAAATCCCTTTCGGGTTGATTAAAAAACACAAAAAAAACTTTCCTATGTTAACCATATTTTTAAAAAATACCAATTTTTAGACACTAAAAAAAAGATTGTAGCCACCTCCAACGTATTCTAGCAATCGAATTTGAAGTGTAATAATTAAAGTATATCGCTTTTGTAAGAACTAAAGGTAGAAAAATCAATAAGTTTAAAACGAGAAAAGAGTATGACAGTTCAATTTGCTGTTGGCATTATTTTCAGAATGTACATTCGCCTGTTCTCCGGCTCATTGTGACAAAATGAGGCCAAAGGACGAAGACATACTGACTGACTTTTCCTCGCTCTCATCCCCTGGAATTGGATCGTGAGTATTTATTTTTCGGATTTATGAAACTCTGCCGTGAATCCAGAGAATTGTTTAGTGTTTCTTTATTTACGTCTATTTGTCGTAGGGTCTTTAAAAACAGTCGATTCTAATCAGTTTATTTTTTTTTATTATTATTTTTTTTTTTTTTAAGAAAGATCGAGAACACAGAACTTTGCAGATTTGCCGATCGATCGAACGCTCGATAATACGCTTAAACTTAATCATACATCTCTGTTGTTTTTTTCTTTTTCTTTTTTATAATTCTAGGGATTCGGAATTCGAAGCCTTGATGAACAGAAGACCTCTGCCTAAACCCAAGTCGACGGCTGACAATAAAATCCCAAAACGTGGATCGAAGTCCAACGGCCATTCTACCTTTCCAAAATGAAACGGGTGAACAAATGCGAAGAATGTTTTTTCGTCCCCCTGTGAAAAGACCGATTCTGTAAAATATATTTTACTGTACAAACAGTTGTCTTATTCAATTGTAACTATTTACCTACATATCACATATTTCTGAGTCTCTCAATTAAGAACCAGCATCGAAGAAGACGAAAAGCCGTCTGGCAGATCAGAAGAGCAACATTAGGCAGTTTAAAATTATCGGAAACTGCCAAATTATGAAATGGAGCTGAAAAATTCACTCAAAGACAAAAAACCGGACATCGAATTTTTTAATCTAGTTTGGGATATTACTGGGTATGTGGCATATTATACAGTTGGCTATGATTAATTGAAGGACCACATACCCAATAACATCCCAAACCAGATTATAATCAAAGTTGGTCGATAACTGAACAACATCGAATTTTTTGTAAACTATATTTATTTGTATCGTTATACTAATTATAACATACTTATTTTAATAAAATAAAATAGCTAATTATGACAGTTTGAAAGAAAATTCACCAAAACACCGGAAAATAATTGAGCGATAGTTTCAAATTTAGCTAACAATTTATTAAATGGTTTTCATTATTAATAACGTGTATTACCTCGCAGAGGGACTCTCCTAGGCATCGAGTAAATCTATCTTGTGAACCGGAAACCCATTCTTCAACAAGAGCGGTTTGAAGCTGTTCAATGCTTGTTGGGGGCGGCGAACAATGTCTAACCGGTCTCAGACATGCCCCATAAGTGCCCTATGGGATTCATGCCACGAAAAAGTGCTGGTCAATTGATTGTGTAATCCCTCATCCCCGAGCTACATGCGGTCGAGCACTAGCACGCATTCTTACAAAGTTATCCTCATTAAATAGAGGAAATGGGACCAGAGCTCCTAGAAGAATTTCCTCAATGTACAGTAGTGCAGTCAAAGATACATTCCGTATGGTAATCAGTTGTATACGGGACGTCTGACTTTGAAAACGCATGGCACATGAAGTAAAACGTTCTCCAAATCTTCTCCACACATGGTCCTGGTCATCTGATTGACACAAACCAAACCGGCACTCATCTGTGTGCCAGATGCTCTCCAGAAGTAGAGAACCTCAAGCAGGATATCAAGATAGGCTGTTCTCACGAGCCTTCTGATGACTGTTTTAGAGCTCACCCTTACATTACGAACCATTTGGGGTTGACTAACTAACTAGACTACTTCTACTGTTAACTAAATTACTACTTGTATAGTGCGGTAAGACGGCTAGAGACGATCATTTTATTGCTCTTTGTACATCGTGATCGACTTTCTCTTCGATTGAGACTTCCGGAATCATAGAAAACCGAGCTTAACTTGGTGATTAGCAGCAGGTTTGTAATCCATAGGCTTATTTTCACTGATGCGGGTCTCTAGAGACTAGCCTATTCGCATGAAGCCTTCTGATGACTGTTTTAGAGCTCATCTTTACATTACGGGCCGTTTGTAGTTGACTATCTATCAAAGGAGTTAAATGACGGTTCAGTAGTGCAGTAAGAGCAATAAAACATCGTCTCTAGCCGTTGTACATGGCGGTCGACCACTACTTTCTCTTCGATTGAGGCTTCCGGGGACTGCGTAATGGACGCATCCGCAGTTGGCCAAAGCTTCTGCTCGGGCGAGATCTTCTCGACTTGAAATCATGCTCTTAAGAAAGAAAAATTATAATTAATTTTTTACTAAAATTTATTCCATCATCAATGAAAACTATTCAAATACTCGACAAGTTTCTCTGGAAATGATGAAATTGAACTGATTTTCTTATTTTTAATCTAAATAGTGAAAAATAATTAGTAACAATCTATAAAGTTATATTAGTTGTATAAGTACTTATTTTTGGGTTTTCGTTTTAAGTCAACTATTAATTAATCTTTTTACCTAGTTATTTCTAATAAGTCACTTATTAGAACAACAAATCACTTCAAAACAACTCACCAACACCCCGAAACTACGATATATGGATCTGTAAAAACACATAAATCAGAACACCCTCTAAGACCCATAATTTCATTTGTAAACTCACCCACATATAACATGACAAAATACCTAACCAACATACTCAACAATATCACAGATAACAATAAAAAGTAAATGATTCATTTCATTTCATTAACAAAATTAATAATATCCACATTTCCTCACACTACTCTGTCATATCCCTAGATGTTTCATCACTGTTTACCAACATCCCAATAGACACAACACTGAACATTATTAAAGATAAATGGCCCAACATAACACCACTCACAACTCTATCAAAGAACACGTTCATTACAATGATCCGACACTGCTGTGTTAACGGATATTTCACATACGACAATCAATTTTACAAACAACTATTTGGTATAGCCATGGGTAGCAACCTAGACCTGATACTGGCAGACATAATCATGACATATCTACTAAATACAGTCATACCACAACTTCCTTTCACATAACCCTTCCTCACTAAATACGTAGATGATATATTGACAGCAGTTCCCACAGAACAAATTCAAACTACATTAGATACGTTCAATAGCTTTCACCCACGCCTACAATTTACACATGAAATCGAAAACAAGAAAAAAAAACATTTTTAGATACACTCGTAATAAAACAACCAGATGGCACATTAATCACAGATTGGTATCAAAACCAAGAAACACAGATCGCAACCTCAACTTTACGTCTCACCATCCCCTTTATACAATAATAAACACGGCCAAATGGTTACTTCACAGAATGATTACCTTAAGCTATGAATCCTTCCACCAAAAAAACATAAAGATATACAAACAGATCCTCCATGACAATCTCTACGCTAAATACATAATTAACAGAATAATCAACAACTACAACTCAACACTAACACCATCCACTATTACTAATAATACTACATTAAGTCTATCGGATAGAAACAAACCAGCATACATTTCCATACCATTTATCCAAGGCCTATCACACAAATTAAACACATTTCTCTTGTCCGATAACTTCAAAACAATTCAAACACTTTTTTCCAAAATTAAAGATCGCACACCAATAACAAATAAATCTGTCATAATCTTCAAGATCAACTGTTTAAACTGTCCGGCAACTTACATCGGTCTTACAGCCCAATATCTGGAGAAGAGAGTAAAGCAACATATCTATGATTGCAAAAAACCCAATCAAAATCCTAGAGCATTCGCTACCCACCATTTTAACACCAACACAATTTCGACTTCAAAAATCCAAAAATATTACATACACAACAAAACGTAATTAATCTTTGAAATGGTTTATATCAACCGAGACAAACACAGCATCAATTACAGAACAGATACATGTAAACTCAGTCGCAGCTACGCCTATATCATTAATCAAATTCAATACCGATAACATACCTATATCATCACATTACATTCCACACGTCAAATATTTTTCACATGGTCTAATATTCCAATAATTTAGCTTTCCTTTTCCTATTTATCCCTTTCTATATAATCCTGAAAGGATAATCTGGCCGAACCATTACCAACACGATAAAAAAAAAATGTTTTTCTAAAACCTATGTCACACCAGACCGCATCTCACGACCTCCAAATAATCATCAAGTAACGGTCACTAAACACCACATATTTCAAAAATGTTTTTCCGTCATAGTCTGTAATGTAATTTTTTAACACAAAACATAAACGAACAAAAACCCTCACGGCAGTAAGGAGTGAAAGGAAGATTTCTTTCTTCTGCGAAATCAATCCAGCGGTGCTAAAAATGTGCTACTTTGAAAATTATAGAATAAATCGAAAACCATGGGTATAAATTATTATTTATTTTATACAAAACATAAACAGGATAAAAAATTAATCAATTGTTTTTGTTTCTTATTAACAGCTGGAGTTAAATTAGATTCGGGCCATTTTTCCTAGACCAATGAAAATAAAATAATGGTTTACTATTTAACTACCTAATTTGAAATTTTATTTAAGCTATTTAATTAATTATTTTCTCGCGTTACTTCACAATTACTTTTTGGTACCTATGTGAAATTTACGAAAAAAGACGTGTGATGGCCAGGCCATATTTATTAACATTACAAACAATTTTAAAGACTTTTGCTTTTTACCGTGATTTCTCTGTTAATTTAAAAGAAATCTTGGCATATTTGTAACAAAAAATGACGAAATGCCTACGGTTTCATTTTATTATAAAAAAGAAATTAATGTATATTAAGAGATTAATGTATAAAAGAGAATTAATAATTTCTTTTAAAGAAAGAAATTAGATTTGAAAGTACAGTATTTGAGAAAAAATCCTGATTAAAAATGGGATTTTTTCAAATTATGATAACATTTAAAATTGGATTTGAGCCAAACCGAGCTTAAAAGTTACAGGAAGAATTCAGCTCAAAATCTGTACCAAAAATGTGAAAATGCAAAATCAGCGGCGTAGCTAGGAGGGAGTGAAGTTAAACAAACCGAGCTGGTTGTGCGGGAGAAAACGCAATCCCAACCGTCCTGATAGGATTCTTTACCACCCTGCCAAATTTCATTGCAATGCGATCAAAAACGCGAGATAGCGCTAGATTTTTTAAAGAAATCTACCTAAAATTCAACATCAACTTACAGGTTTCTTGATATCAAACCGAATGTTGGAAGTATCGAACCGGGGGAAAACAAAGCCAAAGCGTGACCAGTTAAAAGGAAACTGATTTAATTTTATTATCAGGGGTGACAGGTGAAGATTTTATAATTCTGAAATATAAGCTTCTTCGCTTAATTAAGGCTAAATTAAGACATATTACATATAACACATAACATCTTCACTTGGCTCTATGGAGGGGGGTAATTCCCCTTTTACACCCCCCTGGATCCGCTACTGTATATTACTGTATTGCATATGTATTATATTGTAGATATTTTTGGAATTGATAAAATACTAACTAATATTTATGTAAATATAAGAGAAAAACAAATGTGCATCCCTTGTATGTACATATATATAATACTTTAATAAAATGCTCTAAACTTAAGTATTTACAAGTGTTTGGTTTTTTGTATATTGTCGTTGGCCCATAAGCTAATAAATATTA